CTTACGTGACAGCCTTAAGGACGTTGCCGTCTTATTAAAAACAGAGAATGAAAGGCTAAATAATCTGTTCGTTAGTCCGCTTTTTACTTCTTCTTCCTCCGCTACTTCGCCCCTTTCTCTGTTGAAGTTTGGAAAAATCTTAAAATTCTTACTGGCCATCACAACACACTGGTATATGTGGATGCTGATCTAGGCTCCTTAAATAAAAATTTTATCTTAAGTCACAATGATTCCTACCTTCCTTCAAATGACATTTCACTATCACCATATGCCTTCAAACCCGTGTCTGTGGCAACAGTACAGAAACATCTTAAAAAGGTCCGTGGATCGACAGCTGCCGGACCGGATGTTGTCTCGCCTTTTCTTCTTCTTGAATCTTGTGGTTCCCATATTGCCCCTATCTTAACGCACCTTATTAGCATGTCTTTCATGAAACCTAAGATTCCCGACACTCAGCGTACAATGAGAATCACTCCCTTCCCTTAAAAACCCGCTAATTTTGGTCCTAAATCTTTTCGTTCAATGGTCTGCTCTTCCGCACTATTAAAACTTGCTGAAAGAGTTGCGCTAGATATTATGAAGCCTTTTTCTTCCAGTTTTTTTCAACTCGTTACAATTTAATATAAAGCCAAACGCAGTACTTTAGATGCTGTCGCTTTTTTGGTCCAATCTCCTCAAAAAGAGTTAGAAAAGGGTTGCCGCGAGTACGCATGTGCTTTTCTTGACTACTCTTCCGCTTTCAATACCGTTCCACCCCTCTTATTAACAAAACATCCGCGTGCGACTCTCCAAGTTGAGTCGTATCTTGGCTTAGTAATTATTTTACTTCCCGCACTCAATTTGTCCAATCTGGCAAGCGGAAATCTGTGGTCCTTCCCACTGACTACGGAGTTCTTCAAGGTTCCATTCGATCTCCTCAGCGTTCTTCCTTTACACCGACGATCTAAGATTCCCTAACGGCTGTCTTTTGGTTAAGTATGCTGATGGTGTGGTTGTTGGATGCCCTTTCAAAAATCAAACACACCTCCAGTCTCTAAAGGATGGCCTTAACCATGTCCTAGTATAGTCGGAAGAAAATGGTCCCCTAATAAACAACCAAAAATCAGTTCAGTGTATGTTCCGACGGCGGCCCTCTCCTGGCCCTGCATCCTTTGAAATCCTTCCTAACGAAGTATCCTCTTTCGGGTGCTTTGGTGTTACTTTGTTCATATTGACCCAACTGTGAAAAACTCGGCGCCTCGGTGGGTTTCGAACCCACGCAGTAAGGGTAAGGCCAACGCTCTAACCACTTGATCTACGACGCCCCACCGGACGACGCGAGTTTAATCACATTTGGGTCAATTTTACCCGCACAACCTACTGCAACGTCTGAAATCCACCAAATCTGTTACAGTAAGTTGACTGCCCAAGCAGGATTTCCTAAGCAATTCACCTAGAATCCACTTTGTTCTCAAATCTTTCATTTTCTCTCCACATTGAGTCCCTATTTACTAAAGTTCGTAAACTTCTTTATTTCATTCGTCGATTACGTTCCTACCACACACCTCAACCTGTAGTCTGGCGATTCATGGATGCGTGCATTCTTCCTCTTATTCTTTATCGTTCTCCGTCATTTCTTCTGCTTTGCTCAAAAAAGATCTTCTAATTTTAAAACGATTCCTCCGAATACTCTCTTCTACCGCTGGTATTTCTTATCTTTTTTAAGTCGATATTGTCCTACAACGACATTTCAATACGGTCGAGCAATTTGCTGGTCGGATTATAGATGACTTTGCTTATCCCTTGCATCCTGATCTGATATCTGCGAAGTCTTACCGCCCAATGCGCCGCGGTTTCCGACTTATGTCTTGTCACACATCGGCTTTTCGAGCTTCTGTACTGCCACTCCTGGCGCGCTATCGTACGTGTGAAGAGATAGTAATACAGACGCTAAGATTTGATGTGTCCCCATAATAATCGTTCCTTTTGTGTTAAAATTTTTGACTCTGGAATAATCTATTAACTTATTTACTGTCCATAGTGAATGGAGCCATTTTTGCAGGACATTTTGAATTTATGACTTCAAGATATAGCGAATTTCTCTCTCTCTCTCTCTCTCGCTCTCTCTCTCTCTCTCTCTCTCTCTCTCTCGATATCATCTCCTTTTCGTATCAGCGCGATATTTATGCCATTTCATTATTTTTAGGAAACCTTGATTCAAGTGCAATGTCCAATCACCTCTTTTTACAAAATCCTTTGCCTTTTTTATCTAAAGAACGGAAAAGAATGCCCGAAACCCTTGTCACAAGTGTGGTATGCCATCCCCCCCCCCCACACTAGGCACCCGTAGTTGCCGCGTTTTTAAGTAGACGTGACACCTTGAAATAATCGATAGGTAGTAGCGACAGTAACCAGCGCGGGCAACGTATGCTTATCTTCCATTTCAGTCTAGCCAGTCCAGAAAAGCCCACGGCCCGAAACCAGGGTCTGGGGCCACTGAGCATCATTCCAAAGCCAAGGCATCCTTTCTGGTCGGCCACAATTTGCCACACAGGAGTGACATTCAGCGATCTACCCTGAGCCCTCGGGGTCGAAGAGGAGTGCGACCGGCCTCGCCAGCACGGTCACAAAAGCAAGACCCAGCCAGGGTGGACGCGCACCCCTATGGTAGCATGCACGCACCATGCACGCACGCACGCACGCACTGAGACGTCACACAAGCGTGTACGCGCTTACGGCAGGCAGGAGCATTTGTCAGAGAGAGAGAGAGAGGAAGGACGCCTGTTGTTTCTGCTTCACTCACATGTCAGTGTGCTGCCACCCGCTATTACTGGGGCTGTCAATCAGGGGGTCGACCTGCCTGCTGCCAGCCAGCCCGTCTGTGCCCAAGTTCTGTGTCCACCTGCCCCCCCCCCTCCCCCTCCTCACAGGAGGTTGATGCAGTGCAGCAGCAGCAGCGGCAGGGAGACTGACAGCTCCCCAGTCCAGCGGACGCAGTGTTCTCTAGCACGCCCTGATGAACTAACGACTGCCTCCTGCGTGTTTGTCGTCCACCCGTCAGACACGCACCAACTGGTCCGCCACCGGCTGGCCTGACTGTTGTGTGCGCTAATGAATTGGACTGACGAGATAAAAGCTGCTGTTCTAGATGTAGTAACCCTCACCCCACCCTCTGCAGTTAGCCGTGTCAACTCGTATTGACCCACCAACCCCCCGGGGCCTGTTACTCTGTCACCGTGGTATCGTTTGGCAAAGGATGGAGGCACCGGTGGGGATGGGGCAGGTAAGGACTCAAAGCTCAAGGCGAGGGGAGGGGCTTGCTGACTGTGAAATTCAGCGGCAGACCGGAAGGGCTGCTGAGACCGTGGTGCAGCACCCCTCATCGTCAGAATCAAACAGGCTCCTGCAGCGAATAATGGATCATTCTGAGTGCAAAAAGTGTTGAAACTACCTCCGAAGACATCACTGGCACATTTTCTTTCTCTATTTTTTTTCTCTCTCTAGTAAAGTATTTGTGAAGAGTGCACCAAAAAAACGTCATCGGCACAGTTACACCTTTCGGCCGCAAACTGGAGTCTACCATGGAAGGAGGCGCACGACAGTTCCACCTTGTGTCCCGCAGCAAAAGGAAGCAGGCACGGTGACTTGCACGTGATTTAGTTTATAATGATATCAGACTTGCGCAGCGTCTACCGCACTCTCTCTTCCCAACTCCCCACCTGGAGCCGGTGACATGAAAGAGTCGAGAAGACCGGAGGCGAGGAAGGGAGCAGGTGGATGGCACGGTTGAGCTTGCACCTTGGCGTCCCACTCCACGCCCCTGGTCCACACAGCAAATGACCAGGATTTTAAGCCAACAACAATATGGAGGGCCACAGGTGTCCCAATGTACGCGACGTCTGCCGGCAACTGGGTCTACCACCACACCCCGAAATGTTACTGTGGTGCGCATTCCGATAACACCTGCCAGGATCCGATATGACTACGTGTTGGTCCAGCGCATTTACCACGTGGCCCGTTGCGGGGGCACAAATATAAGGGTTTTACAGATTGTGCTGGCGATTTGTCCCCCCCCCCACTCCCGGTGGAAGCGACCATTCTTCAGTGGCTTTCTGGAGATGGGGGTGTAAGACCTCAAAAAAAGCATTTGCAGATGAATGTTCAGTCCAAGTCCTCGACAAAAATATTCCAAAATTAGAAGCTGTTATCGCTAACTACGGCCCTGGTGACACCCACCTCTGTCCCTAGTCGTATTAACCTTGTTTTGGCAGGGAAATATGGTGGATATAAGGAGAAAACAGCTCGCTAAGTCCCCTTCACTGTAGACCTTTCGCGTGTCAAGTCACACTCCGATATTCGAAACAGTCGCGATAATCAGCGGTCACGATAAACGACCTGCTAATAGAAGTCCAAAGGCAGGGTCAAGTTTAGCCGCCGGAAGTACCAACTAACATAAGCTGGCCGTTCATCAGGTTGACAAAAGTAATAGATCCGGGGTGATAATCTGAGGAAAATGAGGTACTCACCGGAGGTGTTCACAGGAGCACAAACTGGCAACTCGGAGACTAGACCCAAACTCACAGCTTGCGGCTCACATCGGGGAAACTGGTCACAGTTTTGATTTTTAAGAAGCAGCCGTCTTACGCAGGGGCATCTCAAGGACAGAACGTCTCACACTTGAGGCTTGGTACTCAGATGCCAACTCCATCAACAGGCATCTAGATCTTCCATCGGCCTATAAAGTTCTACGTCATAACATACGCTGTGACGAAGACAAGACGGTCATGCGGAGTCTAAGACTATTGAGCAAACACGGCCTGTCGACCAATTCCACAGAAGGGGAACGCAAACGCAACTAACCCCAAATGGGGTGACGACACGCAATACAGGAGGCCACCAACACTCACAGGCGACGGCCAGTAGGCCAAGACAGCGAAAGAAACAAATCGATCAGCCCACGGCCAAATAATTCGGCTGTCCATTCAGAATTCTGATCGATTTTTTCAGTAGACGCTTTGAGAATGGTGAGCCGGCGCAGCTCTTCGAAACGTCAGCCGAACAAGTCTTTCGATCCGGTGAGCACCTCATTTTCTTCAGATGACCGGTCATCCTTTCGTGGGTTTTTATGCTGATGCGATATTTGACGTAAGGGTCGGCAAACACGTATACGTTTGGGCTGAGAAGTCGGTAACAGTGAGTAGTTAATCTTCTCAGATTCCAACCAGGTTGGCACACTATTGAGACGAATGTGAGGTCAACGGCAGCTCCGATCTGCATTTAACGATACACCCCAAGCCGCTTTTGTGCAAAAGCTTGATATGCCGCTGCCCGTGCACGGAGATGGGGCGTAAAGATGAGGTCCGACTGTTGCAGTTTATGTCAAACATGTTCGAAAATGTCAACATGAGGAATTGATGAAAGTAAAATTCAAATGAAATGGAATTCAAATGAAAACAACCAATCATGTTTATGAATGTAAACTGGTGGCGTGGGGAGATCGCACTTTGCGTTACGTCATTCTGCTGCCTACTATTTTCCAACTTCTCTTGCAAGCATAATAGTCTAAGGCATGCGTCCTCAGAAATACATGCAAAATCAAAACGCTTCCTCCTGATATTCCGGAATGCCCCGGGGTGTAAACCATTACTATCTTCTGACGGAGGGGTCTGCGCCCACGACAGTTCGACAATCGTGAACGATAATGGCCATACTGTTCCTCGCCCGCACAGGGACGGTGACTTGCGCGTGAGTAGGTTTATAGTGGTAGCAAACTTCCGCTATATCACCGCACGTCCCGCTTCCCTCCTTCCAACCCAAACACCCACCTGATTCCGGTGTTGGGAAGACTAGAGGCCGGATCGGACACAGTGGCTGCTAAAACTAAACAGTCTGTCTGCGCGTACCACGCACGTCTGTTCCACAAAAAGTTGGATGGATTTTCACAGAATCAAAAGGCAACGAACGGCTGAAGGGCCCCCAAACACACACGATCAGCCAAAGGTGCCTGTCTTACGGGAACGGTGGTTGTTGAATCCAGCTAGTCAACGCTTGGAATTCTCCACGTCCTCCTCGGACAGTAACAAAGGAATTCTTTGTCTATCGTATCATTTGTTGAGGTTTGTGTGTTTTTTATTATTACCTTATTCTATTAATAGTAATGTATATACACCGAAATCTGTTTTGGCTTATAAGCGTGGCTCAATTTACCAAGAATTCTACAGTGGTAATAGGGGTTTTACGGGTGGGGCCTATGTATGCGTAGAGGAATGGCAAAATAAGTATAGGCAATTGGCAAATTTGTTTTTCGGGTGGGAATGTTTTAATGCATTAACATATAGCAACTGAAATTACGCGAGACAATTAAGAAAAACAAGCATTAAGTGTCTACAACCCTTGCTTCTCAACTGTCTGAACTGATGTCATTGCAGATAATCCACCAGACTGTCAACAACGATCGCTGCTCTCTGAATCGAGTTCATTGTAGATAATGCAGCAGAGCGTCTATAGCAGACGACCCAACTCTGTACGATGAGACACCAAACCGAAATAATCTTGTTGAACTAAAACCCACTTAAATAAGTATAGTAGGTATCCTTTGTATGCCACAGATACTTGGGGGCCTTCACTCGATCCTTACCAATAAAAAAGCTGTCTGCTCGGATTCCATCCAACAAATGGAACCATCCCCTCGCAGATATTTATGTTATCCCTAAATTCATCTTCAGCTGCTCTCCGTTTTTGTTTCGCCGCTCTTGGGAACAACTGCAGGCCATCCGGCCTTAATTAGATCTTGCAACTGCATACATCAGCACACGATCCACGGTCTACCGACATCTAATTTGGGTTCTTCACCCTACCGCAGCTCTTTTTACAATCATCAGGACCCACATCCAAACCGCAAAATGTAGGGAAAATGAAGTGGCAACATGTTATATCTCTGTTTCTGCAGTTATGCTGCCTGACGAGTCAAATATAGGGCCAGACTTGGCATGAATGACAGTTGATAGGTCGACACCCGGAGCAAAATTGGACGGATGCTTAGACGAATCGGATGGAGCGTCGTCGTAGCAAACTGATGGGAATAAAAAGGATAGTCGGCATCTTCAAGAATTCCTCCAGCAAAATGCCTCATTGTTAGACAAAACCGTCACATCATCGAAGGAAAAAACACAATCGGGATGCGCACACACGCATACGTGTGCAGCATGAGTGGGCAAAGGGATGCTGACTTCTGAAAATCCGCAAAACACCAAATAAGGCTAGTGTCAGTGGCGTTCACTGAATTTGGTCAATCTCTGTTTCTCTTTTTAGCCCTATCTGCAGTCTCAAAAAGCGCCAGCACAGCGAAAACTAATAAATCAAGGAAAAGCATTGTCACCAGGGATAAGAGAGGGAGACTGTACTAGCAATCTTTGTCTTACATATTGCCGTCGGTCATCCTGTAGTACTCGAGCCACCCAAGGGTATGGTCTTGTCTTCTTCTCCTTCTAGGTGACAGTCCGTACTGGCTTCCTTGGTGCTCTTATCCGATCGAGTGTCTCCTCGGCGGGGAGCCTGGGAATTAGAGTGAATTGAGTCCATCGTCTGTAAGGGCAAGCGGGCGCAGATAGAATAGGTCGACGGTGGAAAAAGTTTATTAAAAGAAATATATCAGCAGAGGAAAATTAATCCCGTTCCGTCTTCTCGTCGTCCTCCTCTTTATGGGCGGTCTCTCGACGGGCCCCCTCACGCTCTTCGACGGCGGTCACTAAAACAGAGCACGTTCGGAACTCCAATCTGTCAAACTGTACAGGAAGATCATAGCAAGGACACGTTAAAACAACAAGGTCAGTACGTCCTCTACAATCCATCCGGCATCGGAAATACGTGAGAATCAGACATCCCTTCTGCATCGCTGACATCAGATCGTCAGCCTGCGACCCAACCGGCGTAGGTTTAAGCCGAAGGAACAACCGGGGACTGGCTAAACAATTCCGCCATCCTGATCTGTCCTCCCACTGCGGCTCGCTGATGATGCCACTTAAGGCAAAAATGAAGGTTTCAGTCACACCTTTCCCTGCTGGTAATATTCCTCCCGAGTATGAAGACTACAGTGAGATTACGAGCAGAGAGCAAACTTTACAGACTATGATCATCTCATAAGACAGAACCTGTGTCGAGTCTTTTGTGAGGCTTTCTTAATTTAATTAACCACATCTCTTTCTTGTATCCTTATGTGGGCCCGCGTGGGGTACAATGTATTACTCCTTCCAATTTACCCATTCTACCGCATACCTCTTTTAAAAATAATCCACTGCAGGACGAAGCGCAAAATGCTTTGATTCTTTGGAACAGGAAAATCGCCGTCTGAAAGACAGCAATCATTTGCTAAACCAAACTCCCCCGAACTGCGCCGATAGCCAAATTATGATAAGAGGGTATTTTCCCTCTCCCTCCCCCCAAATCTGGAGTTCCGGTCAGCTCTGAACTGGGTCCTCAGGTCTTCACCGCCGGATAGACGTCTTATCTGTCCGGATATCAGCTACGAGTTTCTTACCTGTCCATTTAGAGCCTCCCCTGCGGAACACCCATTGAGATGGGATCATCAGCATTGTTCTTCTAACCTTCCCCCCTTCCTCCTCCTCCTCCTCCTCCTCCTCCTCCAGTTGACGGTAGGACGCCTTAGCCTGGAACCAAGCAGGTCCATTGTGGAGCGGAGGTCGCTGATTGCTAGGTGCCCATTAAGTTCCGCCGACTTGCCTTCATCCTAAAACACTAGGACCCCCACAACCGGTCATTATCTATTCATCTTTCTAGCAAACAAAGCCGAAGAAAACGGACGCATAGTACGGGAACAATTTTGCTGGTTAAAAAAGGAGAGAATCTTGATAGCCCACTTGAAACCTGGTTTTTTACGGAATCACAAGAGTTGGAGGAATGTGTCATTAGGGCCTCCCACTTTCTGACAAGCTCCATGTGTATTATTTATAAAGATGACTTTTCAAAGCTGTGGCAAAATTTGGGCTTTATAGTCCCGAATTTTCTCTCTCTCTCTCTCTCTCTCTCTCTCTCTCTCTCTCTCTCTCTCTCTCTCTCTCTCTCTCTCTCTCTCTCCGAAGGCGGCGGCGGCTAGCAGGGTTAACTCAGCGACGACTCATGATTACCCTGCCAGAGGGTCGTCAGAGATAAGCTGAGGCCCAAACCCCGCCTCCTGGGTGTCCTACAGTGGGTATCCTTTAGAAAGCCAGCAAACTCATCGTCCGGGGGCTTGCAGTTACAAAATTGCTAAATGGGTGCAATGGGTTCAATCGAATAGAAGTTCATCAAAGCCGAAAAAGAAGTTACGACTGAAATATAATGCAGTGCTGGGTGGAAGACTCACCAGATGAAACATAAAGACAGGGACGATGTAAGTTCTCCAATCCTAAGTGGTGTTCCGAGAAACACATTACTGAAATTCGAATGTATATCGCGGACGCGGACACCAGCAACCTCACCCTCCACGTTCTTTAGCCTTTCCCCTCGCCTTTTCTGCCCTCTCTCCCCCTTCCCCTCTTCTTCCTCCTCCTCTCCTTCTTTTCCTTTCTTCTTCTTCTTCTTCTTCTTCTTCTTCTTATTTTTCTTCTTTTTCCCTTTCTCTATCTCTTCTCATCCTGCCTCACCATTGTCACCTTCACCCTCATTTTTATTCTGGTCCCCTTCTCCAACTCCTTAGTCATATTCTTTCACCATTCTCTCCTCCTCCTCCTCCTCCTCCTCCTCCTCCTCCAGCTTCTTCTTCTTCTCCGCCTCTAACAAACAAACTAGCTTACTCCGCCACCACTTTTGTCGACCTTACTCAGGCCTGAAAATCCAAGGGCTGTTGCTGGTTTCGTGAAAATGACCGGCCTATCTGTCCACGCCATTATCACTGTGACAATAAAGTTGCCATCAACAAGAAATTGGAGGCAGGCCTTGCAGGGGTTCTGATGCGTATGCGAGTGCCTCCGCCATTAAGTTATTCAAAAACTCAGTGGCAGTCATAATCTCCAATATGAGTGTGTGCATGTGTGGTCGCACTTATAACGGTCATTCAGTCGTCGCAAGTTATTGACTGTGAGAGACTTTGGTCTCGTTTAGAGGTAATATTCTCAGTTCACAAGCCACAGACCATTTTACCAGCTCATACAACCCGAGAGAAGGCAAGGGAACTCGAGAGTTACAGGGTGCCGGTCGCTTTATTGCGGTTTAATATGCTCCAAACGGCTGCGGTAGACCGGCCTATAGCACAACTAGCACCACCGTCATCGTCGTAGTCATCATCATTTCGAAATACGCACGCAAGTCTAGCAAACAGAACGCGTAGAACGTCTTCGCAACGGCGGATCGCGTCTTGTCCCTCTACATGCCCATCAGCAGCCGTTGGTAGACAACCATTTGGATCCACATGGAGTCCATTCAGCTGGATCCAAACGTCGTCACTGCACTCCGGGTGATCATGCCAGTGGCGTAGCGAAGTTCGCGCTCGGTGTTCCGACGCGTAGCGCAGTCGAGTACTAGAACAGAGGGTCATCGCGATTGCGGACAGCGACTGAAGGATGAGAAACAGGGAAGACATCTGGGTTTTTATAGTCGGCGACTTCTCCTGATACTTAAAATATTTCCATTCTGAAATTAGCGAGTTCGATCTAGAGGAATTTTTGCGACTGGAGGTTACGAGCAGAGCTCACGATGACTCTCCTAAGGTACGGTTGCATTCAGGTGTATTTTTCAGTCGACGGAAGATTAAGAATTCTGCAGTGCTTTTGGAGACATTTTAAAATTTATGCGCAAACGACTGGATGCATTAATGAAGGTACATAACTCACAGATCGATTTTCAAAGCGTGTTGTAGATAGTTTTGCAAAGGGCACCCCCGGGGAACCAGGTCATATGTGGAATGCGTAGACGGCCTAATGTAACTCCGTCAGTCATTGGGCCCAGCTCCAAAGCCAGATGACTGACCGGCTCAGACAGTGGATCGGTGCATGGCAGAGCGGAGAGAGAGAGAGGTCGATAATAGGGAACCCACCCGC